GCCCCATGGAGAGGCCCACGTGGTGAGGAGCTGAGGCCTCCCTCCCACCAGCAGCCCCACAAGGGAGCCGGCAGGAACAGCTCCTCCTGCCCCGGTCCAGCCTTCAGATGAGGCAGCCCCAGCTGGCCTATGTGCTGACCACGATCTCATGAGAGACCCCGAGCCAGGACCACCCAGCTACGTCTGCTCCTGGATTGCTGACCACGGAAACCCTGAGAAAATAAACGTGTGTTGCTTTAAGCTGCTAAATTGTGTGTGGGGGGTATTTGTTATGCAGCAATAACTAACTGATACACCCTGCCTGTCACTTAGCCTATCCCCCCGGATGAACACCGACATCACAGGAGGACTCGGCCATGTCAGGCATACGCCTGTTCACTCCGTGGACACACCCAGCCAGAACTGTTGTATTGTAAGGATGTACATTCCAAACGTTCAACAACTTTGAGTTACACTCAAAAGCTTCAGTTGGAGTATTACAAATAATAACTTGAATTACAATCTAATATATTTAAATTTTAGCCACTACGTACTGCAGGGAAGTGGGTAAGAGCCAGGTAGAGGGCCAGGATTCCCTTCCCACTGAGCTGCCTCTGGCAGCCACTTACCCTCTCTGGGCCTCAGTTTAGTAGTAACTCCTAGAACGGGGCTGTCATCAGGACACCCATCACAGGGTGGTGGCAGGTTACGTGAGTTAAGTCACAGAAAACGCTCAGCACCATGCTATCCACGAGAACTTCATGCAGTGATGGACATACAGCTCTTGAGTCCTCGAAATGTGGCTTCATTTGGCCAAGTGAATTTATAATTTTGTAAATTGATTTACCTCTAAATAGCTACATGTGGTCAGTGGCTATCGTTGTGTATGACTCAGGCTTGAAACAATGCTTGGCAAATCGTAAGTGCTTAGTAAACGCTTGGTAGGACGATTGTCCTGCCACATTATCTTCCAGAGTGCTGATCTGCATCCCAGCAGCAGCATGGAGGTCACCCTGGTGACCTTCTCATACCCAAGTATGATCATGCCTCTCCCCTGCTCCAAGCCCTTCTGTAGTTCCTCATTACCCTCCAGATAATAGCCCAGATTTGTTCATCTCATTGTAGTTACAACTGTAGCACCCTCTGGAATTACTTTTTCCTGCAGGGCTGGGCACTTCTGGTTTTTTGCCCACCTTCCTCCTTGACTGGGGCCTTTGGAGGGTGGAGACAAAGTCCGGCACTTGGTAGCTGCTTAATCACCAGAGGCCCTCTGTAGCTGAGTCCCTCCCACCTCTACATCTGCTTCTCCAGCGAGTGCTGCATCTTGGCTGACCGTCCAACCTCCACAACATCTCAGCCTCTGAGCCTTTGCCCAGGCTGTTCCTTCCACCCAGAAAACCCTTCCAGGCGGATTCAGACTCAGCTTTCCAGCTCCCACCCCAACTGGCCTTGTTCTGTCTGAGGTGCTGGAGCGAGGTGCCCACACACACTGCCCCCCACAAGGGGTGTGAGTCCACGTGTGTGACACATCCAGAACAGGCTCATTCACCGGCGGGAAAGGGGCTCGTGGGGGCGGGGGGCTGGGGAGAGGGAGGCGACTGTTCACGGGGACGGGAGTTGCCTCTGCGGGTCAGAATGTCCTGGAATTAGGCACACGTGGTGGCTGCACAACCTTGTGAATGTACTTAATGCCACTGGATTGTAGACTTTAAAATGGTAAAAATGGTGAATGTTATGTTATGTGAATTCTACCTCAACTTAAAGAAAATGCATATTGTAGAGTGTCTCTCCGCTCCGCGGGGCCGCCTCCGTGAGGGCAGAGACCAGAGCCACCCGGGCGCATAGAAGGGGTTCGGCAGGTGTCTGCGGACTGAATAAGCGTGTGAATCTGTCATCACAGGCACCTGCTCTCCTGGAGAAGGAAGAGTCCTATCTCCTCCACTTCTGGACGAATCAGAGGGAATCTCGGTCACGGGAGTATTCTTGGAATATCTCCCCCTACATCCCCTAACTTGAAATCTGGGGTTTTCCTCCTGCCCAGGCAACTCGGGCCAGACGCGCTCGGTCTTTATCGATGAGGAGAGGGCAAATAAGGGAGGACCCGGTCCTTTAGCAAGTAAAACTTTTATTAAATAAACTTTCAGTTTCTCCAGACCAAAGAGAGGCGTTTGGACATTAAGATGATGCTCGCAGCTTCTCACCTGAACACGCCACAGTGACAAGGATCTCTCCAGCCAGAAATTCAAACCAAGTCAACCCAAAGTTCCCTCTAAGTCCCTTTCTCGTCTTCCTTTTCTGTGTCTGTGTGTGGCGGTTTGTCTCCAAAAGTCGGTTTGCAAGTTGAAACTTCATGAAATTACTCGTAGCAGAAATAAAGTACATCGTACAAATCACGTAGGTCTTCGATGTGGAGTATAAAAATGGTATTTACAGCCGGTAAACATGGACCAGAAGGACACACGCCACTGCGCACCACCACGCACTCCCAAGCAGGCCTGGCGGGGGCTTGGCAGGTGCCGGGGACGCGGACGAGGCCCCCTCGTGGCCCCTGGGCACGCGCTTGCACACGCAGACGCACGGGACACAGGCACGCTAGAGTGTCTCGGAACAATTATCAAACTCTGGAATATCGAAACCAGTTGGTCATAAGATTTTTTTTTTCTTTTCCTTTTTTTTTTTTTTTTTGCTATGTGTTTTTTTTGTGTTTTTTTGTTTTTGTTTTTGTTTTTCTGGGTCAGTCAACACATTTTGGTAGAAACAAAAGGGAATGCTGTTTTTTTTCTTTACAAATTTTTTTTTTCTTGAGCTTATTAAGTTCTCTGGTGCCTCACTTGGCAAGAGGCCCTACTGACGTCCAACGAGCTTGACTCTGTGCTTCAGAGTGGGTTTTCACGGTTTGAGTAGCTATACAGAGATGCCCCCGCAAGACCTCCCTCCCCGCCCCGACTAGGAAACAAAAATCCACTGTCGTCTGATTTTTCCCCCCATTTTGTTCTCTTTTCTTCTTTGTATCTGCTCAGAAAGACCAAAATTAAAAAAAAAAATTATTTGTAGAGGTATCTCTGGTAAAGGGGTGCTGGGCCAGGGCAGGTTGGCTTGTCCAACGCGCTTGGCAATCTTGGTCATGAGATCGTGAACTCCAGGCTGGTGATCCGAAGGCAGGGAGGGTGGCTGCCTGCCCTTGGGAGGGGGCACGAGGGGCGGGGGGCTCCCCCGACCCTGTCTGCCCCTGACGGAAAGCTAAGGGCTATTGGTCACATGAGTAAGGCTATGACGGGGGGGAGGCGGGGGGGTCTCTTTTGTGCCTACATCGGGGAAGGCAGGGCCCTGGGGCGAGGGAGGGGGTAGGGGTTCCAGAAGCTGCAGCTAAGACCAGGGACACTCGAGCTGGCTGAGCCCAAAGGCCTGCGAGAGCCGTCGGCGGCAGGGGCCCAAAGTCCTGGAGGTATATCGCGTTGGCTGATGATTCCCAGTGCTTCTCGGTGCCCTGGTCTGACATGACAGCGGGAGATGGGGAGACACTGGGCTGCCCGGTCATCCTCAGCCCTTCTTATGTCCCTGCTGAGTGACCAGGCCAGGGTCACCTTCTCTTGGATGGAAGGAAGTCGGAAAAGTTTGGTCCCATGATCTATACTCAAAAAATATATATACTGTCTATAGCTCTATATATATATGCATATATATATATAGGAAAAGTTGTGATTTAGTTTGGGGAGCCACCAAGGAGGGGGGCGGTGAACCCCTTGGCCCCCAACTCAGGAGCCCCCTCCTCCCAGCGCTGGGGCAGACCACGAAGCCCCCTCCCCGCTCCACGTGGCCTTCAGTGGTGTTTCACATTAGGGGATGGGGGGGCAAGGGAGACGGGAGAGGAGAGGGAGGGCTGGTGTCCAAACTCGGTTGTAATTTACGGAAAAGTCCGGGACCGGTTGGAAGCGGGAGGCCCTCCTGGGGTGGGAAGGCCCCTCACCTGGCGGAGAAGGGAGGGGCGTTAGGGTGCGGTGATGCGGGGCCTGCTGGCCTACGACATCGCCTCCCACCCATACCCCCTGCCCTGGCCAGGCTGGGTTCTGGGAACCCAAGGGCCCCTATCTTTTCAGAGAGAGAGTCCATTTCCAGATTCGGAGGCCAACAAACTGCCTGGGAAGGGACTTTGGGTCACTGAGCCCATTTCTTCCCACAACCTGGGGCCAAGAGTTGTGTTTATTCTTGTCTCCCCTCCCCCGCTCCCTGCCACTGAAGCTCCACAGAGGCAGCTCTCCCCCCAACCCCCGCCCCGTTTCTGGTCATTCACAGCTGTGTCCCCAAGCGCTGGAAACAGAGCCTAGCGCATAGTAGGTGCTCAGTAAGGATTTGCTGTCCCAGAGTGTTCAGGTGCACGGGGCGTCTGTTAGTTGCCTGATCCCGCGACTGAACACCCTAATCTGTGGGTGCTGATTTGACAGGGTCTGAAAAGCATGAGCGGCCCCTAACTGAGCACCTACTTCGCACCAGACCCCAGGCGAGGCGCTTTGATGACGACGGCGCTCGTGATTGAAAAAAGAAAAAACAAATGATCAAGAGCTTTCCAGGTGGCGGGTCCTGGGCTGGGCTGGGAAAACACCGCATCCCCAAGCGGATCCTCCCTGCTGCCTCTCGGGAGGCGACTTTCACGAACCCATTCCACAGATGAGGCTCGTCAAGGTTTGTGGTCAGTTACGTTTCCCCACTGGCCCCTTAGGCTCACTGTTCATTCCCCGAAGAAGGTGTTTAGTTGTCGATAAAGTTGTTCTCTCTGATGGCAAAATACACTCTTGGGGATGTGTTTGGGGGTATCTTTTTGGGGGGGGGCATGCTGGTGAGCAGGGCAAACATTTCGCTTTCTCACCAGTCCACTGAGCATGAATTACACCAAATAAGGAGCTATGACAGGGGCCCAGCTGTGAGATTCATAGGATAGGACAGAAGCCCCTCCCCACAGCCCACCCCACCCCAGACCAAACCTGGCCTCTCAGGAGAACTTCTCTTCATCCTTCAAAGCCTTCTTCTGAAAGGATTCCCCAACCACCCCTGGACCCTGGTTACACCCTCTGTCCCAGCCCTGACCGAAAGGGGAGTGGGGGGTGACTCTAGTCTAGCTCTGTCCTCACCAACCCAACCTGGGGGCTCCTCGTGGCCTCCAGCAGCATCCCCCGGGGCTGGGGAGGGTTTGGAGAATGAGGGGGTGTTTGGCCAAGACGGGGTGGGGGCAGGGTGTGGGTGGGGCCGCCTGGCGGCTCACCTGGGCCAAGCCCGCAGCCTCCGGGCGGCTGTGGGCGCGGTCAGTAGGGGTGTCCCGGGTCTTTGGGCCGCTTCAGCTGCACTTTGAGCCTCTTCATGCCGATCTGAAAGCCGTTCATGGCCTGGATGGCCGTCTGCGCGCTGGCCGGGTTGTCAAAGCTCACGAAGCCTGCGGAGACCGGGGTGGACCCGCGATGGTGGGCAACGTGGGCGTCCTCCGCGTCCTCCAGTGCTGCGGCCCCGGCTTCCCGGCTCGCGGGGTCCTGGGGGCGGGGGGTGTGCGCTCGCAGGGGCAGATGGGCCCAGGGAGTTAGGAGGGCGCGCCAGAGCACACACAGCAGCCCGGGGCCTGGTTCTGACACCCTCTGGACTTGCATGCCTCTGGGGACGGGGTGCTTGCTCCTTACCTGGGGTCTGCTCTGCTGAGACTTCCCACAGGTGGAGGGGACAGGTGAGGCCTCTGGGGGTCCTGGGAGGGCCACATTCTCCCTCCCTCCCCATCCTGGCTGCCTGCCTCCTTCCAGACCCTGGATGCTAACTGCTATCCATCTGGGATCTTGACTGTGAATCAGACTCTCTGTCTCTGTGTGAGTGTCCTTGTGTCTCTTCTCTCTGTCCTTCTTGTCCTCTTCCAATCTCTGCCTTTTATCTCTTTCTCTACCTCTGTCTCTCTTTGTCTCTCTCTGTCTCCCTACCCCCATCTCCCCTCCTCCCACCAGGCAATCAGAAACATCCTAGCCTGGTGCTCCTCAAGCTTCCATCAGCCCCAATCCCTCCACCTGCCACCCCAGGCCACCCTGCCCTACTCCTGCCCCTCACTTCTTGGTCTTCACAGGCTTCCCGGGATGGTGTGGAGGCCACAGGGGTCAGGGGCCCTCTGGGGCAAGGGCCTGCATGCACAAGCATTTGAGGCGGGGATCCCTGAGCTCTGTGTGAGAGGCCGGGTGGAGGGTCAGGTGGAGAGATGGCGGGGCAGGGTTGAACGGTCTTGCAGGGGCCCACTGGGGAGCTATGGGGGAATGTGGAGCTGGGGGGGGACATCTTCACATCTAGCATCTTCCCTAACACCTGCCCCCCACCATACTGATCAGGAAACTGAGGCTCAGAGAAGGCATAGGACTCCTCACTGTTGAGAGGTATTGAGGGTTGTCCTCCATGCATTGCCTTCTTTGTCCTGCAAGCAGGATGCTGAGGAGGGGCCTGGGCACGGGCAGAGACCCTTACTGGTGTGACCTCAAGTGTGCTATTTGACCACTCTGTGCCTCTCGTCCTCCCTCACTAAATTCTTGTATTTCATGGGTGGATATTGAGTGTATACAGGAGGTGCTTACTAAATAGGCAATGGTTGGCCTTTTGAATACAACAGGGTGGGATTAAGAGTCCACATTTTAGAGTCAAACAGACTGGTTCTCGTCTAGGTTCTGCCTCTTTGCTGCTGTGTGGACTTGGAGGTGTCCAAGGCCCCGCACGACCTGCCCCGTCCCCTCCCTGCCCCATCCCCTCCCTGCCCCATCCCCTCCCTGCCCTGTCCCTTCCCTGCCCTCCCCTCCTTCCTCTCTCCCCTTCACTCGCTCTGCTCCAGCGAGTGAAGGGTGGTTGGCCCTCCAACACACCAGGCCTCGTTCTGCCCCAGGACCTTTGCATGTGATGCTCCCTCTGCCCGGAACCCTGTACCCCGACGTCCTGGGGCTGGGAAATCTCATTATTTGGGTCTCAGCTGAAACATCACCTCCTGCATACCAGCTTCTATGTCCTTAGGAGTAGATGGTGATGGTGTTCTTCATGCCATTTATAACCCCCTGGCCTATGTCCTGCCTTGTTTATTCTCACCTCCTACCCGTAAACCTGTGCTTTTTGACTCCCTGGTCGCTGGCCACACGTGGTAATTTATATTTAGATTTGTGAAAACTACACCTTCGGTTCTGTGGTTGAACTGCCACACTTGAGGTGCCTGGCGGCCACGTGTGGCTAATGACTCAGACGGCAGAGAACATCTCTGCAGGTGGAGAAAATTCTGTTGGGCAGTGCAGCAAAACTGCGAGCTTTGAAAGGCAGGAATTTTGTTGGCTTCCTTCACTGCTCTGTACAAGCACCCAGCATGGTGCCTGGCACACAGTAGGTGCTTAATAAGTGCTCATTCTAACTTCTAAATGTTATTCTTTGGACCACACCTGTCTCACGGCTGACCACACCCTCCCACACCCCTGTTCCTTGGCGGGCGGAGTCGGGGACGGGGCTGGCAAGCAGGAAGGGGTGCCTGCAGCAGGTACTCCAGGTACTCACCAAAACATTTGCTCTGGTTGGTGGCCCGATCCATAAACACCTTGGAGGAGATGATATTGCCGAAGGGCAGGAACATCTGCGTCAGCTCCGTGTCTCCAAACTCCTGGGGGAGGTGGTAGATAAACAGGTTACAGCCTTCGGGACCTGCAGGTGGGGGAGAGAAAGACATAAAGCCCCCAAGGAGAGGAGGCGGACCCCCCCGGGGGAGGGGCGCGGGACTGGAGCCCACCTCTGGCATCTCCAGCTGTTGGGGGAGGGTGCCCGTGACACCAGGAAGCAGGGGCGTGGAAAGGCGGGGAAGGGAGGCAGGGCGCGCTTACCCTCGCCTGTCTAATCCCACACTCAGGTGGGAACCTCTGATGATCCTCAGGTCCCAGATAATTTACAAAATTCAGATGGTCCCTCCCCGCAAAACTGAGATAAATCCCTCAATGCCAGAACCTGGATAATCCCCAAATCCCAGACAACCGGAAACCCCTGAAAAATCCCTACACCGGAAACTCCAAACCATTTACGACATCAGATGAATTGTATGTGGGGTATGCGGACACTCTGCTCTATCTTTGCACTAATTCCGTAAATCTAAGGCTGGTTTTAAAATAAAATGTTCATGTTTTACAAGTCCGATGATCACAGAATAAAGTAAGACAAGTCATTCCCTGTTCCCAAACCCCAAATATCTAGTTTTCAAAACCATGGATAATCCTCCAAACCTTGAATAATTTTCAAAACCCACATGACATAAAAATAAAATCAAGTAAGACAAAAAAAAATTAGCCCTCAAACCCCCTGGTAAATTTATTATATTTTTACTTATTTTTAAGTAAGGTCCATGCCCAACGTGGCACTCCAACTCACGACCCTGAGATCCAGAGTCATGTCCTCTACTGACTGAGCCAGCCAGGCGATCCCCGCCCCCACCTGGGAATTTTAAAATGATATACTATACCAACCAGAAATACTTTTTTAAAAGCACAGCTAACTCTCAAAACCATCCCCTCCCCAAATAATCCCCAATGCACGAGTAATGTAAAATCTATAAATAACAATCAAATTTAAAAACCTTCTTATCTGAAGCCATGAACAGTCTCCAAACCTGCCCCTAATCCCAAACCAACAGATGACCTTCTCCCATGCCCCCACAAAACGCGGGGAACCCCCCCAACCACCAAGAATCCCCTTCGGCCTGGAAATGAGTATTCTCCACCCCAGGAAATACAAAATCCAAGATTGGATTTTGTCCAGTGTCCCACTGACATCCAACCCTCACCTTCCTGATTAGGTCCACAGCTCTACGAACGCTTGTTTTTAAAATGCAAGTGTGGCCCAAGGCGATCATCGTGGTTGACTCGGACCGCGCAGTCTTGACCGCAACACAAATGTTAGGTGTGCTTGTGCACTACCTCATCTCCAGGAAACACGGGGTGGATGCAGAAGGCCGCACCCAGCTGAGTCGGACCTCAGGAGAACACACAGCGGCAACGCCTACCACTCCCTCAGCTCCCCAGGTGTGTCGTGAGCCACACGCATCCCCATCCGCCCGGGGTTACGACACCCCGCCTGACTTCAGACAAGCCTCTTGCCGCCACTTCGCAGCAGCCCGTGGCTGCAACCCTTCCCACCAATGCCACCTCCACGTGCAAACCTGAGCTCTTTGCCAGGGTAAAATGCCACACCGAGCGTATTTTTTTAACCTGCTCACGTGCATAACACTGTGCTACCATTTCTATTAGGGCTCCATCTTTAGTTTTGCTTTGACATGTCACGGACAGAGGTTTGGAACGGTGCAAGCAGGAGTCTTGCAGATGGTTCTGCATGCTGTGGGCACTCTCCAGAGCGCTGGTCGTGAGTTACAGCAGCGCTGACCGCCTCTGCACTAGCTTTTACCCCCTCAGCCCAGGTGGAGGGAAGGTGGAGCAGGGACCGGGGAGGGAGACACCCAGGTCCGAGCCATCCACAAAACAGTGACCCGAGGCAGCTGGACCCTCTCTGAAGCTCGCACTGGCCCGCCCTGGGTGGGGGGTCCCGGGGGTCCTGGGAGGTCACTGAAAGTCACATTGGAGCTGCCAAGTCCTCATGCCTGTTCTGTCTGTGACTTTAACCACAGAGCCCCCTGGAGATATAAAATCTGACGGAGAACGGGGTAGCAGCTGGTTGGCAGAGCTGGGGACCTCTCAGCCTAGGGCTCGCCTCCAAAGCTCAGCTCCTGTATCCTGGCAGTGCCCCCTTCCAAGGGCCAAGGGCAAGGGAGAAGTGGGGCAGAGCCCCAAAGAACTCGGTCTGCAGGCCAGGCCAACTGCGGAGCTCCCCTGGCCATGGGGCGAGTTGGTCACCTCTCCCCCACCCCCACTAGCTGGATGGACAAGGGAAAGGGCCTTCCTGGGTGCTGAGCTGCACTGTGTGTCAGGAACGGCCCTGCCTCCTTCCTAGTAAGGCCTCTTGACCCAGATGGTCGCTCCTGTTACAGAAGAGGAAACTGAGGCACAGGGCAGTGAAGTGAAGCTTTCCTTATGATGTCACAGTCAGAACTGGGTGGATCTGAATCCCGGCTGTCGGACTCCAGGCTCTAACTCCTCCCTCTTTCCACTTTACTGGCGAGGCCTCAGTTTCCCCGAGATACCTCGTACCGCCCCCCGCCCGACCTCAAGACGAGCGTCCTTTCCAAAAATTCAGAGAATCGTCCAGTCCTGGAGAGGGCGGCTGGGGGTGGTGGGGTCACGGCTAGTCCTACGGTTCCCACTTTCCAGAGGAGGGAGCCGAGGCTCAGAGAGGGTGATTCAGTTCCCCCAGAACACCCAGGGGCCGCGCCAGAACTCGAACCCAGGTCTGTCCGGCCAGCCGGCCGCGCTCGTAGCCGCGGTTCCCCGAGGCCGCGCGCCAGGCCAGGCCAGGGGTCCTGGAGGTGGAGGGGGCGGTCAGAGGGCGGGGCTGGCGCCCGGGGGAGGTCGCGGCCCCCTCACCTTCTCGCTGCTGCTGCTGCAGGAGGGGCGGCGGCTGGGGGACGCTGTGCGCGATGGGCGTGATGGCCGCGGTGGGGTACATGGCTGCGGAGACCGGGAGCGAGACACAGGGCGGAGGCGGGTGTGAGGCCGGTGGGCGGCCCGGGGCGGGCGGGGGCGGGGCCACGGCGGTCTTGGGAGGGAGGCGGGGCGTGCCCGCGGCGGAGGGCGGGCCTAGGGGCGGGGCCAAGGCAAGGGAAGAGTGGGGCAGAGCCACGAGGGGGTGGGGTCAATGCCTGGCATCAGGAGGGGGCGTGGCCACAACCAAGAGCGGGCCTGAAGGAGGGGCCAAGGCCACACAAGATCAGGGTGGGTGGGGCCAGAGCTTGAGGGGCAGGGCCATGGCTGAGGGCGGGGCAGGATATGAGGGGTGGGACCAGACGCTGCAAGGGGCGGGGAGGGGTGTGGCCAAAACCTGGGATTGGGCCAGGGCCAGAAGTAGGAGGCGTGGCTAGGTGCAAGAGGGAAGGCCAAACGAAAGGGCGGCCCTTGAGAGGCGGGGCCAGAAGCGGGTTGCGGCTAAGGGGGAGGGGCTAGACAGGAAGAAAGCCGGGGCCAAGGGGGCGGGGCCACGCCCGAGACTGGGCCTGACTGCCCCCGTACCTGTGTACTGCTGGACTCCGGAGAAGGCGGGATGGAGGGTCTCGGCTACGGTCGGGCTCTGAGCTGCGGAGCAGACGGAGGGATTGAGTGGGACGGGGGCAGCAGATCTTCCATCCACCCCCGATACTAAGGACCCAGAAGGAGAGCAACAAACATCTGCCCCAGCTTCACCTCTGCATAAACTTTTTACAGGTATGGTCCTCATTTTACAGGCAGGAAAACTGAGGTTCAGAGAGGTGAAGCAACTGGCACAGGGCCACTCAGATAGGAAATGGCAGAAGTCGAACAGGACTCCAGAGAGGCTTAACCATCACCCCCATCTCTCTGTCCCCATCCGGACCCCCTCGCTCTTCCCCTTTATTCTCTGGATTCTCCAGGACTTCAGGCCTCTGCTCCTGATCACCCTCCACACCCATCCGTTTCCTTCTCTCCCACTCCAAGCCTCACTCATCAGACACCCCGTGGAACCCCCATGTGGCTGTGACCTCCCAATGGCTCCCAGGGGAGGAGGTAAGGGGAGGGGAGAGGTTGTCCAGACCACTAGAGCTGGTGCTTCAGGGGGAAATTTCAGCCAAAAGATTCTGCTCGAATGGAGAGAGGTTACTAGAGGATGAGTGTGTGTGTGTGGGGGGGGTTACCATAAAGGGGTCACATGAACGAATCACCCCATGGAGATGGAGCAGTTCTGTGTCTTGATTTTGGTGGTGGTTACACAAATCTACTATACCTGTGATAACATAGCACAGACCCCCCCCACACACACACACGAGTGCACACAGAAAGTGGTGCAGTCTGAATAAGGTGTCCAACTCCTGTTGAGTTCATCGTATTGTACCAATGTTAGCTTCCTGGTTTCGACAATGTGCTCGGGTTATGTAAACTGTTAGCATGGGGGGGGGGGGCTGGGTTGGAGGGACCGGGACCTCTCCGTACTATTTTTGAAACTCCCCGTGAGTTCCAATCATTTCAAAATAAAAATAAATTCTCCTCGATGGTGGAAATGCAGATGACTTCACCTAAGCAAGGTGTCAGAGGAGGCTTGCCGGGGGACTGTGGTGTAGGGTCAGGAAAGGTGGGACCTCTGCTTCCCAAAGGTAGGGCCCAGCCTAATTCGGTGCATGGCTAATACTGAATGGATGGATGCATGAATGAATATGGGTACTGATATCTTCCTAAATAGTGACGATTAATAATTAAGATTGATGGTGCTGTTCTTGGTACAGGCGATGTGTTAAGCATTTGACACGCTAATTTCATTGTCAGTGCAACCTCCTGAGATGACTGATGTCATCTGCCCTATTTCCCAGGTGAAGAAACTGAGGCCCAGAGACTCACAGAGACCATCCGGGACCACCGAACTGGAATTTGAACCCAGAAATATCTGGATATAAAGTTCCCATGTTTTAACCACCCTGCTACAGCCCTTTCTCTGTGCCCACAGCTCACGTCTGTTCCGTTGAGACTCCCTCTGTTTCCCAGGGACCATGGCATAAGGACTCATGCTTGCCCCAGAGACACCCTCCCCGCCCCCTCCCCAGATCCCAGGGGACCACTCCAGTTACCTGGGTAGGGCACAAGGCCATTGGCATACACAGTCTCTAGGGCGGGGTGCCCCCCAGGGAAGGGCACGACACCCGCGAAGCCATTGGTGATGGGAGCCACAAGTCCGGGCACAGCAGTGGTGCCAAGCAGGGGGGGTGAGTGCAGTCCTGCAGAATGGAGGAGCACCATGGGGAGCCTGAGCCTGGCCCTGGCCCTGCCCTGCCCTGCCCACCCATCCTTAGGCCCCTGGCGGACTCTCACCAGAGGCAGGGGCGATGGGCGTGGCAGGCAGCCCGTTAAGGCTGACGGCGCCAATCTGCTGGATGTGACAGGGTGAGAAGGCCACGCCAGGGCTCAGGTAGCTGCCCGACGTGGACAGGACCGTTGTCTGCTGCTGCATGAGCTGGGGGTGGAAAGGGAGTCAGCGTGCACAATAGTGGTGACAGCTACCCTGAGGTCATGACTCATGGGAGGAGGCCTGGTACTCAAGTAACTTGGGAGGGGAGGGGGTCAGACTGGCTATCTTGGCTCAGGCTGGGGTCAGGGCTCAGTTAGAAATTGGGGCTCAGCATGGGATCAAGGCTCACTCTAGGGTCGGGACTCAGGCTTGAGATGAGGGCTAAGGCAGGAATTTGGACTTGGTTTGGGATCAGGGATCAGCCAACATTGAACTCAGCCAGGGTTGGGTCTCAGTTTGGAGTCTCGATTCAGAGGCTCCTTTTGGGTTTGAGACCCAGCCTAGATTCAGGGGCTAAGCATGGGGTCGTGTCAGTCCAGAGTTAGGGTTCAACTTGGGCCTGGGGCTCAGTTCATGGTTGGGGGCTCAGCTGGGGGTGGGGGTTCAGGAATCAGCCTGGATTTGGGGACTCAACCATGACCAGGATAGGACCGTGAGTCAGAGAGATTGGGCAAGATACAGAAGATGAGCAGAGAGGCAGAACCCCCAACAGAGCATGGATGGAGAGAGAGACTGAGCGGGACCCCCAGAGTGGTGTTGGGAGCCCCGCTGGAGACAGAAGTGCAACTGCTGGGGTCACTCACAGCCTGGGCGTAGGCACTGTAGGGGCTGAAGGGCAGGGTGAGGGATGGTGTCAGGATGCCCAGCTGGCCCACCATCTGCTGCATGCGCCGCAGTGTTCGCTCCTTGTCGGTGTCGGCAAACTTGACCACCAGGCTGGAGGAGGCACCCTACAGTGGGCAGTGGCAAGCAAGGAGGGAAAGGAAGGAGGTAGCCAGGACTTTGGGGTTCCTGGAACCGCGCCAGCTCTGGCCCTCGCGGGGAGCACCGTAGATGTCAGCAGCTGCCGGTCCTGCCCGTGCGCCTGTAGCTGCAGGACACGCACGTCACAGCGAGAACAGCTCACAGATTAGCATCCTGGGTCTCGCACTTGACCGTGCAGCCGCCTGTGGGCACAGGTGGGGCGTCCGGGCCCAGGGGGTCGCGTCTGGGGCACAGTAGAGGACCCTGACTATCAGCCACACTCTCAAAAATGGACAGTCCAACTGGCGGGGAGAACCAACGGGGACCCAAGTGGAGGACCCTATAACTGTCACTCACACCTGAGAACGGCTGAGACTCCAACCATCAGAGAGGGGACATGCCCCCTTTGCTGGAGAGCTCACTCCCTGATGCGCCCCATCACTGGTCAGCTGTGTGCATGAGAAAGCCTAACCTCATGGTGGGCCGAATCCTGCCACTCCAGGGACTAAAACTGAGGCCCCAGAGCCCAGAGTGCAAGGGACAGGAGGCTCTGAGGCTGCCCTGCTCCTCACACTCCTTTTTGAGAACAGCGGAGAGGAGAGTTGGTTCTCTAAGGCCTGTCTTCCCTGTGGCAGATTCGGACACTTATGGACAGCGACGTGGCTCCTAGCAACTCCTTCTAGAGGGCAGGGCTACTCCCAGTGCCTGGCTGGTCCTCCCCAGCCTCTCACCGCTCCAAGCCTGCCCCCTGCCCATCCCCACTCTGGCCCAGGGGACATTTCCAACTGACCTGGCCCCTTCCCTGCCCTGTCAAAACCTTCCATGGCTCCTCATTGCCCTAGGAATCCCGTGCTCCTCGGCCATCAGCTGCAGCCCCTCCAGCCATCCCCCCTGCTCCTCTGGGGCTACACGCCCCCACCCCCATCCTTGTTGTCATACCTCACGCCCCACGTTCCCCTGCTGGCCTCCACAAAGCCAAACCACCCCTCAGGCCCCGCCCCTCTAGGACACCCGCTTGTACGCTCACACACACATGCACACATACTCTTATACATGTTCACACACGTGCACATTTAGGCACACACACGTTCATACACAGTCACACACACACTCACCAGGCTCGCTCACACCCCCCCCACATGCTCATACACTCACACACGTACACACAGTATGCATGCTCACACTCACATCCACATGCAGACTCACTATGCACGCTCACGCACATCTGCACACACACAAACACACACAGACATTTACACTCGCCATGCATATCACATATAGTTGCACACATGCATTCGCACAATACAGAGGCACACAATCACGCATGTGCACATGCAGTCACATACATGCACATTCACACACATGCTCACCCCTCCACACACACTCACACACTTGCCCTCACATATACCCACAGATGCACAACGTGCTCGTTCCCCCCACATCAGCCACACAGACCCACAGACACACGCGCTCAGCACACACACGTATAAACACACATGCGCACACACCTACATGCATACCGCACAATCCACTCACACACACCCATTCAGCACACACACACCCGTACATATTCTCACACACACACACACACCTCCTGTGCACATTACCGATCACCTACTGACGACCACACCCACAAGCACTCACTTACATATTCTCTCTTAAACACACACAGACACAGACACACACATGTCGCCACACACCGGCAGGACATCCGTGCACACTCACATCCGTGCATGCCCACACACTCATATGCTCCACACATGCACAATCGCACACTCCCATGCGCACACGTACCCACACCACCATCAGAGACTGCACCTCTCTCTCCACCTGTGCCTTGCTGATGAACAGCCTGAGGCTACGGGATGGAGGGACCAGTAGGGAGAAGTTTCGTCCCTGTCCCCTCCCCCCTTCCGCTCGCCCAGCACCATGGCCCCGGGATGGGCCCTACTCACCGGCATGGTCTGGCTGCCGTGCAGGGCATGGATGGCCGCCTGGGCCTCGGTGTGGGAGGAGAACTTCACAAAGGCACAGCCTGCCGCAAGAGAAGGAGAATGCGTGAGGGGCGACGGGGTCTTTCTGGGTGGACAGGTGCCACAGGAGAGGGTACTGGGAGCCCTGGATGGCTGGTCAGACAGTCAGAACAGAGAGACAGCCAGTAATTTGTTCAGACAGACAGCTGGACAATAAGGGATCAGGCAATAAGACAAGCGCACGGTTGCCGCAGACTATGACGTCAGCCAGGTGGCCACCCCTTCACTCAGAAAGCCACAGCTCCACAGCTGTTTGTGGCTCGCATGGTTCGACAGACACCGAGAGGCGGTGTGCAGTCGGCGGGGCAGGTCCTGCTCGCTGGAACTAGTGAAGGGCACAGGCTTAGAGAACACCGCCAGCCGCTGACACTGTGAGATCGAGTTGTAATCAGATATGCAGAGAGAAGGTGACAAACGTTCAGACACAGGCGCTGAGATACGGCCCTGTGGGCACACTCAGGCACAGATACATTCAGACCCAGACAGATAGGCCCATGTGACCAGAGTTGGAGAGATGGGGATAATAAATAAATAAATATATAAATACATACATACATACATACATACATACCAGACAGGTCAGACCCAGCTGGCTGGTCACACAGGAAGAAATCAGAAATCAGGCAGCCAGGGACCACCAGACACAGGCGAATTCAGACACACAATCATAAGGAGAGACTACTAGACATAGTTCCAGACAGGCAGAGTACTACGGAAGACTGGGGGTAGGGTAGGGCGATGGAATGTTCTGGATTAGAGAGTGGCAATGGTTGCACAATTGTTTGAACATAAAGCACTTCACTCACGCTTTCAAAAGGCGAATTTTAAAGTGTTGATATCAATTAAAATCAATTTAAAAAAAAAGAGGGGCGCCTGGCTGGCTCAATTGGTAGAGCATGTGACTCTTGATCTTGGGGTTGTGAGTTTGAGCCCCACATTCGGTGTAGAGATGATAAATAAATAAACTTTAAAAAACATTTAAAAAATGAAAAATAAAAATAATTTAAAGAGAGGGAGAGCCAAGCAAATAGGGACCATGGGATATATTCTGTCCTAGAAGATAAAACGTTTTGAGGGCCAGAGACAGGCAGGGCAAGAGTTGGTGCCTGATAGATGAACCCAAAAAAGGTAGAATCAGGTAGACAGACAAAGACCACCAGACGCATGAAGACCCAAACAGAAATAATCATTTAGACACTCAGGCAGAAAGTCAGAGACTAAGAGCCGCAGGTGGAGTGATGCTCATCTGCAGTCACAACCAGTCACGTGGGCAGATAGGGAAACAGGTCGCCGTGGACCGTTAAAGTCTCTCCTAGATGTTCAGCCAGGATCAGGCAGTCCACAGGAAACTGTCCCACAGAGTCAGGTGGGCACAGACGGCGCGCAGGCAGGACCAGGTGGGACCCTACAGTCTCCGCCCACCCAGCCCCCGCCCCCAGGAACAAACCCCAGCCTCCCACGTGACCGGCCCCGCCCCCCAAGAGCCAACCTCCGCCTTCTCAAGTACCCAGCCCCGCCCCCAGGAGCCAAACCCCGCCCACCCACGTACCCTATCCCGCCCCAGAAGCTAGTCCCGCCTTCTCAAGGGCATGGCCCCGCCCCAAGAGCCAACCCCGCCCTCCCACGTGCCAGGCCCCTCCCCCAGGAGCCAGTCTTGCCTTCTCACGTGCCTGGCCCCGCCCCCAGGAGCCACAGCCGTCCTCCCACAGGCCCCGCCCGACCCCGAAGCCAACCTGGCTTTCTCAAGAGCCAAACCCGCCCTTCCACATGCCCCGGCCCGCCCCAGAAGCCAACCCCACCTTCTCAGGAGCCTGGCCCCGCCCCCAGAAGCCAACCCCGCCCTCCCACGTGCCAGGCCCCTCCCCCAGGAGCCAGACTTGCCTTCTCCCGTGCCCCGCCCCGTCCCAGAAGCCAACCCCACCTTCTCAAGAGCCCGGCCCGGCCCCCAGAAGCCAAACCCTTCCTCCCACGTGCCTGGCCCCGCCCCAGAAGCCAACCCCACCTTCTCAAGAGCCCGGCCCCGCCCCCAGGAGCCAACCCCGCCCCCCCAGGGCCCAGACTAGGCCCATCCCCCCACGCGCCCGGCTCCGCCCCCGGGCCAGTCCCGCCCCCGGCCGGTCACCTTTGCTGCTGCCGTCAGGCCCGCGCAGCACGGTGCATTCGTCGATGACCCCAAAGGGCTGGAACAGCCGCAGCACGTCCTCCTCCGACTGCTGCTTATTCAGCATCCCCACAAACAGCTTCCGGTCTCCTGTGGGCGGAGACACCCCCTCAGCCGAGTCCTGGCCTCCGGGAATTTCTCGGTCCCTCCAACAGAATGGAGGCAGCAGGGCGTGGGGGGAGCACTGCTGGCCCCTGCTCTGCCTGGACGTGGGGGAGGACACAGCACGCGCTTCCCTGCTCTGGGCCTCTCCATCCTCCCACGTGCCGTGCACGGCTCATCTCCAAGCCTCTGCTCACGCAGTGCCCCTCTCCTGGAATGCCCTCCCTTCAACCCCGCAGGGCCACCGCTTCACTGCTCCCACCCTCCGGCCAAAGATGGTCTCTCTCCTCGCCCTCGGAGAACTCACACATAGTACTAGCGTAAGAACTGCCTTGCCTGGCCTGGGTCCCTGTCTGTCTGTCTGCCATCTAGATTTCCCAGTCGGGGGGGAGCGCTGATGGCCCCTGCATCCTCAAGAGGGGCCAGGCAGTCAAAGTCTGTTGAATGAGCGAGGGCACGTGTGCGCACAGGACCAGGTGCCCAAAGCCTGGAGCCCCCGTCTGGTGGGTGGGGGTCTGGCTGGAGGCCTGGCTGGAGGCACAAGAGTCCTGCTCCCTCTGGTAACTGGGCTGTTCCCCTGCAATCAGGAACATGGCAGCTTCATCTCCCAGGGATGGTGAGCTGGGTTACTATGGAAACCTGTTCTCTGGCAGCTGTCACTCATGGGGATGGAAGAGAGGGGCATAGAAGCAGAGAGACTGAGAGTCAGGGAAAGAGACATGTGAGAGAGAAAGAGAGACAGGGAGAAACACAGAGACAGAGACAGAGAGAGACAGTAAGAGACAAAGAGAGACACATAAAGAGTAGAGAGAGAATCAGAGACACAGAAGGAGAGAAAAAGATGAGAGAGAAAGGTATGGAGTGATATGGAGAAAGAAGGTGAGACAGAGAGATAGAGACAGAAGGAGGAGGAGGAGAAGAAGAAGAGGAAGAATTATTAAGAGTGAGAGAGAGAAGAGAAGAGACAGAGACATGCAGGACCCCCCAACCCCCATCCCAATCCCTGACCTACACTAGCAGCCCGTTTTGAGAGTGTGAAAACAGGTCCCAGCCCAGATGGGCTGTACCAGGCTCCTACATATACACAGATGTCCTAACAGCCCTGCCCCACACACCACCCCCAAGGCTGGCTGCTCCCCCTTAGCCCCCAGGCCACCTGAAATGGGGAGGGGGTAGGAAAATCTCCAAGAATGGCTAGCTTGGATGCCACTAGGGACAGCGGAGCATACCCCCATGGTCACATCCCCAACACGGTCCAGACCTATGCAGATGCCAGGCCTCCAGCCCGCATACCCACACCCCCAGCCTGGAACAGTCAAGCACACAGGCTCGCACACACACGCCCACACACAGGCCAGGCACGCAGACATGCACACAGGCCAGCAGGCAGCCCCACCGCATAAGCCACAGAAACACACATGCACGTGTGCACGTGCTTACACACATCTGTACACAGGTGTGCAAGGTATGCATGCTCACAAACATGCACGCGCGCGCGCACACACACACTGAAAGCAATCCCCCTGAGGGGTCCCTTCAGGGATCCCAGCCCCTCTGCATCAGAAGACCCCCAATATTGCACCCTACAGGGAGTGGGGCATTTTAAGCTCTAGGGGCAAGCAGCTGGACCTAGCCAAATCCCCCCCACAACTCCTCCACTCCTGGGCCTGTGGCACTGTGGTGTGGAAGAAGGGACACAGCCCCCCCCCCCCCGGCTCTCCTGCCCCTACCCTAGCCAGGGGACTCTGCCTCTCCCACCACCATGAGGTGTGTGAGCAGAGAGGTGACTGCTACAGCCTTCTGATCGGGGACTCCCTTCTGTCCCCCATTCTTCTGCCACCCCCCAGCCTGGTGGCCACGGAGAGATGACAACTACCTCCGCGGCTTTCGCTGTCCGCCGGCTTCACCTGGATTGGCCGCGCCATCTGTAGAGAGAGGGAGGGGAGGAGGAGGTCAAGGCTGACAGTGGGGGCATCGGGGGTGGGGGCTTTGCCTGAGCTCTGCCAGGCGCCCTGACCACCTCCCCAAGGCTCAGCATCCCACCAACTTCCAGCAGCAAATCAGTCAAACAAGTGACACATGGTTCCACTGATGGGGCTTCACTCATTGCAGTCTGGAAAACTCTTACTTTGCCTTCAAAACCCAGTCACAATATATCTTGCTGTAGGAAGCCTCCTTGCTTTCTCAAGTGTAGTAGGTTCTTTGCAAAGATGCCCAATCCCTCTAGTCCCTGTGTGTGATGTGACTTTGCAGTTTCTCTCATCAAAAACCGGACCCTATTAATACCCCACACTTCTGCATCTGGACTTGGCCTCCTGACTTGCTCTGACCAGTGGAATGTAGTGGAAGGGAACTGGTGGGAGTTCCAAGCTCTGGCCTCAAGAGACTTTGCAGCTTGCTCTTTTGGAACCCTGACATTGCCAGGTGACATGCCCAGGCAGGACAGGAGGACAGACCTCATGCCTTGAGAGGCTCCCCTGACAAACAGCATGTGGGAATGAGGTTGGCCTGTCCCAGCTCATCCCAGCAAGCCCTGCCTGCCACTGCATGAATGACCCCAGGAGAGACCAGCAGAAGAACCACCCAGCTGAGCCCAGTCTGAGCTTACTAACCCACAGAATCAACAAATAAAATGGTTGGGTTGGTTTGTTCCTTAGTAGTAGCTGACTAATACCAAGGCAGCTACTTTTAGTCAGCTCTCTGAGCCTTGGGTGGGAGGACTGTCATACCTGCATGGACCAGCTTTCAAACTGGGCTCCTTGCTCTAGACACTTCTGTCCTCCACATCCAGCACTGAAAATGATGTTTAATGGAAGAAATCCTCCTCTAATCCCCACCCCCAAACTGACCCAGCCATGGATGTGAGCTAATGTGGATATTTGAGAATAAACTCAAGGGATGTGGGAAGGGGGTGGCATTTGCTTCTCCACTGGTCTGAGAATAGAATCCTCCTCCAAGCCTTGTGTCTCCTGGTGAACTATTCATCCTTCAAAACCCAGCTCAAAAGCCCCCATGCGGGCAATCCTTCCACCCCTCTGGGTTCCTTTCTTCCTCTGCCTCAGGGCAGGAAGTGTCTATGTCTTGCTTTCTCAGAGCAGACATCTCTCCCCACACCAGACAAGGAGAATCCGAGAAGCTTGCCGAACTGAATTGACCAGAAAGAAGTGGCTGACGCATACCAGCATGGAAGGTACCTGGTGACTCTGCGCCTGGCCTGGGGTTGGAACGAGTGCCAGTCCTAGACCCCCTCCCAGGTCAGACCATCCCCATGGCCATTCAGAGAAGGTGCTTGATGGATGTCAGCTTTCTACTCTCTGTGCAGGTGCCCAGCAAGCTCCAGAGGTAGGCACAATTTTCACCGGGCCTTACAGATGTCAACATCAAGGCCCAGACTATTCGTCCAAGGTCATGGTGGGCCAGTTGAGGCACTAAGCAGCCTTCCTAGACGTCAAATTTAAGGATCTTTCTACCCACTCCTATGAATAGAGACCCCTCTCCAACTATGAACCCCCAAATCTCCTTCCCCTTGTCTTGGATCCTATCTCAGCTCTGAGCCTCCCCACCCCATCAGAGGCCCCTCCCTCACACTGCACCCTCTTTCCCTGAGCTCCCTCCCCCTCTCCAGCTTCCCTACTCTCTCTGAACCCCTCCCATTCTGAGTGTTTGTTCCCTGGCTCATATGGGCTGTCTCAATTTGAACTCAGCCTTGGGAGCCCCAGAAGCAGAGAGGCCTCTCAGTGTCCCCAATACCTGCCACCCAGCCACATCTTCAGAGGGACCCTGACCACCTGGGAAAGGCCAAACCATGTCTCCCTTCCCCCACCACGTACACACACACACACACACACACACACACACACACACACACGAGCCCTCTCCACCTGGGTACCACACCCAGCTAGCTGGAGGCAGGAGGGGAGATTATTTCAACCAGATGGGACCAGTTTCTGGGCTGGGGACAGACAGGTTGTGAAGGGAGGTGGGGGGAGTAGGGGCACCTGAGCTCCAGCCTCCTGTTCGCCCCCACCCCTCCCACCCCGCCTCCGCTGGCCCTCACCTCCTCCCTCCTCCCAGCACCTTGGGCAGATGAGGATGGGGTTGCCATGGCAACGCTGATTCACCACACGGAAGCTGGCAATTGTTGTTGCCATGGAAACCGCCTCTTAGGGGCGAGCCCAGCTCCTGCCTTGCACAAAAGAGATATTTAAATATAATCTTCTGGAGATGGATGAGCTGAGGGAGGGAGCAAGGGAGGGGGGCCACGGGGAGGGAACCTGTCCCCATCACCGCACCCTCCACCCCCGCCCCATTCTCGCGGCCTGGGTACCTGTGCCCCATCTCCCCCGCCCGCTGCGGAGCCTGGGACCTTTCCGCCTCCTCCTGGGAGGCCCCTTCCCCCTCCTGGGTCATCTCGGGCTCGGGGCAAGGGTCCCGGTGTGGTCCCGAGAAGCCAGGCGGGCAGTCCCCTCCTCCTCAGCCCCCCCCGCCCCCCCGCCCCCGCTCAAAAGCCGAGGCTCCGAGGCCTGGCCATCCGCACCCCGCGGCCCACCTTACCCACCGGCCTGGAGACGCGCGCCAGGCTGGCCTCCACGTGCCGCCGCCTGCCCGGCCGGCCCTGGGCGCACAGGCGCGCACACGCCGCACGCACGCACCAGCCCCGCGCCTCGCTCCCCGCGCCCGACGCCCAGGCGGGCGCTGACGATCCGCCCGCCAGAGGCCGGGCCCTGCAGGCGTTGCCCGCCCGAGCCGGGAGGAGGCGTGCGGCGCGGGGGGGGGGGGGGGGGGGGGGCTGGGTCTCCCCACACCCACCCCTCCTGTCGCCCCTGCCCGCCCATCTGGCTCGGCCCACCTCCTTCCGGCTCCCTCTCTCCATCTGTCCCACCAAGGTCTCTGCCTAGTGCCCTCCCTCCCTCCTCCACCTTCTCTGGCTCCCCATGGCTGCATCCCTTCCCTGCTCCCTCCCTTCCTCCTTTCATTTATTCAATAACATTCCCGGTGTGCCCCATGCTGGGTAATTTTGCAACACCAGGGAGGACCCACTGATCTGGCATGAGGGGAGACAGAGGTAGATACAGACACTCCCAGACCTATGCAGTCAGGATTGAGGCAGAGGTAGGGACCACCCCCTGGGAGACCCTAGAGCATAGAGGAGTGAGGAGCCAGAGGTTATCCTGGGGCTTCACTGAAGATGGAAAATCTGCGGTGGGTTTTGAAGTATGAGTAAGAGTTTGGGGTGGGGAGACAGTTTCTCATGTTGGAGGAATACCTACATCCATTGACTCATTTAATCTCTAAACAAGTTTATGAGATGAAAACATTCTCATTCTACAGATGGGCAAATCAGAAAGGGAGAGGGGAAAGTCAGAAGCAGAGGCCCAATCTCCTGCGGAGCGGGCAGGTTTCCTCAGGGTCTTCTTGGGATCCAGCCAACCCTCTAGCCAAGGGGCCGGGGCTCTGGGGAGTGTCTGTGTCTTTGGAGCGGGCACACATTAGATAGCTGAGACCCAGTCCTTGCTCTGCCCCCCAGCTTTTGCTGGGTGACGTCAACTAAGCCACACATCATTGAGAACCAGGGTCCCTCATGTCTGACCTGTGTATATTACAGACGGGGAAACCGAGGCCGCTGGGGGAGGGACTGCAGGAGGTGTCTCCAGCGGTCAGGCTGGGGCCCCAAAGATGGTCCTTTACAAGATGCATAGTTGTGGCTTTAGAAGATGTGGGGGCCCAGGAGAGGCCCCCACTAGGTCGTGTCCGGGTGGTATGGAGGAGAAGACAGCAAGGTGGTCCCCAGGTCACTATTCCAGCCTCCCCTTCTGCCGCTGGAGCCCCAGCAAAGCCTCTGCCAAACACCCAGGCCCCACCGCTCTCCTACTCTAGGTGCTGCCTTGGCTCCTTCTGCCCAGGGGGTGGCATCCTGGCCTTCCTCCCCACTCCTCCTCCCAGGCCCCCAGGACACCACTGTTGAACTCACTGGCTGGCACTCACCCCTCCACACCCCATCCTCACTGTGAAGAGACCCCTCACATGCCACCTCCCCCTGAAGACTTCCCCGGCAAGTCCATCTGCTTCAGGCGCTACGTCCCCCACCAGACACACCGTCCCTCTTGGGTGGGCTGCCGGGGGCAGGGGGCCGAGGGGCCCTGGGCACCCCTCCCCACCTGAGGCCCAGCACAGGGTCCACAAATGACAACTGAAATGAGACAAGAGCTATGGTTTCCAGACCCCACAGAAAGGGAACCCCAGTCCCCGTCCCCGTGGGCAAAGAGCAAAGTGCTGGGAAATAACTCAAGAGCATGAGTCCAGCTGTGTCTACACCTTCCCCACTTCATGGAGGAGAAACCAGGCTTGGACAGACGACACGACTGGCCCAGAGTCCTGCAGGCTCGACTTGTCTGGGACAGTTCATTCATTCATTCATTCATTCGTTCGTTCATTCATTCATTCATTCGTTCGTTCATTCTTTCGTTTGTTCATTCAGCATGGATTTACCAAGCTCCCGTTGTGAACTCAGCAATGGGCCTGTGTCACCCACAGGATCCTCAAAGCCCTTCTGCAATCCCATTCCACAAATGAAGAAACTGAGGCCCAGGAGGGTCACACCACTGGACATTTGGCACCTGGGGTCCCTCGCTCAGTCTCAGGTTGGGCTTGGCTCTGAGCCAGGTCATGGGATGTGGGAGGGGGTCTTGCAAGGGGGCCCCTTCAGAAACCCCTGTGTGCATAGAAAGGGTTTTCAGGGGGCTCTGTGAGGGGACCCCCAGCCAGCCAGACAAACCTATCCCTTTCTGGTGTGCAGGGCAGACGTCAGATCTGGGATGTCCTTCGCCCCTCAAGACCTTCACGAAAAAAGGGACAATACCACCTCAAATGGCACAGCCTCTCAGAGACAGGCGCGGGAACTGCCGCCCCCTGCCCCCCGCTGTCC